AAATTTCAATTCATGCATCTCCCTTACAAATTTTTATTTGGAAATTAGTAATTGCTGGCTTCTTTCCTTGTGCAAAATAAAATTCATCTTGTTTCTCACTTAAGTTTAAAATGAAATGACTGAGAAATTTATCTTTCAGTCCTAAAATTATCCAATAATTTCCCTGCACTCAATAATGTAAATAATTAGTCTCAGACAATTCAAATTAATTAAAATAAGGATTTTTGATCGAATTAAGCACAATTCAGAAAAATGGGAAAATACTGGATATTTGAGCATACTTTCCCGATTAACTCTAGTACAATAAACTAAGTGCAGTGCAGAAAATAATGGCTCATCAGTAAATGTTAGCGACAAGGGATTTACCGAGGGCTCTTTGGCCGTCGATAAGCCTTCGGTAATTACCTTTTACCGACGGTTTTGGGCTGTTTCCGAGGGCTTCTGACCTTCGATAATGCCCTTCTTTTTTATAGTGAGAAACTAATTATTAACGTAATAATGTATGATACCTATACTAAATGCAGAAAATATAACCTAAACTAATAAACACTACTACTCATGCAATGCAATAACAAAACCTAAATCTATGAATCACTAAAATAAGCAAAAGAAATCAAAATTGAAATTTGAGAATGAATGCACACAGAATATAAATGCATGAAACACATGATCAATTAATGCACACTATCTATATACATGGTCTGGAAAGTAAAATCTTAATGTAAGGAATTTAAATCTTCATGTATCAGAAAGAAAATAAGAGAATTCAACATATAAACTAAATTAATATGATATCAACTCTACAGAAATACTAAAAGTCCAAATTAGAAACTAAGAACAATGGGTAAAAGTAGAATTCAAAGATAAATGTGCATTAAAGTGGACAAGAGAGTCTCAATTCACTAGTACAAAAACAACATATAACATCATGCGTTCAACGTCAAACCACTGGATAACTAACGTTTAAAATGAGCGGTGACATTTTTGTAAATAAATGCAATTATTAAACATCGTTTAGAATTGTAATTCGACGTAAAAGGATATAAAACGTCAAAAAACTTTTAAATTCGACCTCAAAAGGTTAGCGAATTCAATAAAAATTTGAGCGGGAGATTGAAAATTCATTTACTTTATCTTAGCGCGCGATACCCTCTTCTCTTCTCAAACTTTTCTCGAACGAAATTTGACGAGCATCACAGGTAATCTTTCTTTTTCATTTGATACAAATGTATGTTAATTAATTACTTTATGTATTTTAACTGATTATTTTCGTGCTCTTATCCTTCATAGGCGCATTCTGATTTCTCTCACTTGTGACGAAACCGTAGTCCGACGAACCCACCTTTTGAAGGTTAGTTTTCGTTTTCGTTTTGAAGAACTTCTTTATTGAACTTGTTTGTTATTTTTTTTGTTGAACTTGTTTGTTGTTGTTTAGTTGAACTTGTTTATTGTTGTTGTTTGATTGAACTTCTTTGTTGTTGGTTATTATTGTTTTCTTCCAAAACCTGAAATTTTTTTTTTTTTTGCTTTTCAGGTCTTGTAGAGTTGTAAAAAAGTATCACAATTAATTAAAAAAGAACAAAAAAAATTGATTAACGTCGAATATTAACAAAATTCGAAGTTAAGTTAACATCATATAATAACAAAATTTGACGTTAATTTAACGTCGAATTTTTTAAACTCGACGTAAATTTAACGTCTCCTGATATGACGTTGTTTGCGAATTCACCGTTAAAAGCCCAAAATATTCGACATTGTATAATATTTTTGTACTAGTGATTACTATTCAAAAAGACATTCCGAGGAAGTTAAACCCTCTTTGGAGTCTTTTTAGTCCATATTTTAGAACTTTAAAATGGTAATTCTCAAGCAATTCCCCAATTCAATGCAAATCTAAATCAGAATTCTAACTTCAACAATAGTATCATAAGAACCAAAATGAAACACTGAATCAACAGGAAACGTAAACTCAAACTCTGAAATTAAAAGAAGCATGTTTGGAGAAATGTAAATTGAATTAACAACTAAGCATGAAATAGAAATTTTATTTAACAACTAGAATTGAAATACAAGATACTAGACTCCACGAATACTCCAATGTTTGTCATCCAATGGAATGATTCAAGAACTCCAATGCAAGAATCAAAGTAGCTACTTCTAAGAAAGCAATAAAATCTAAAACTAAAGCATGGAACTGAAAATTGAATCGCAGTGCCACCCACCACTATCTACTCTAAGTCTAAGTGCACTGTCTGTCACCCAATGCACGTCTATTCTATATTACAATACCTCCCAAGGAAAGTTCAAAAACAGAAAAAGAAATAAAGGGGGAAAAATTGAAAAGAAACTTGGAAGCTTCTCGAGCATTCTTCAACTGACTTTGACTAGGTTCTTCTCGAGCATTTTTCAATGTTCCCAATACGCATCGTTTCACTAAACTCTTCAAAAGGGCTTCAACCCTTGCCAGCGGAGTAGCCCATCTCCAAAGCAATAGCCCAGCTTTGCTTCTGAATCCCATGTATAGCAACCAGATGTGGTTTGGCCCAATCTCAGCACCAGAGTTTCCTTAACGCACAGCATCAACACGTGTAGCCCAAATCACTACATTTCAACAACGGGTGTTTCTCCCTCCACCACCCCAACTTTCTCCCTCCACCTCCCCAATTTTCTTTAATTCCAGTTATATCCTCAGGTTAAAATTTTTTTACTTTTACTATATTAATTTATTTAAACCTAATTTTCGTATTTACTCCCTACACCTACCGTTGCATCTTCCATATTCGTTTAACAATCTCTCTTCCGTCTGCAACCCTCTTCTCCCCTCTTCCTCCATTTCTTTCATTCTTCATTTTCCTTGGAGGACCGTTTGGTGTTGCAGGACCGTTTGGTGTGGAGCAGCCGTTGGTGCGGAGGAGCCTTTCATCTGGCGTGGAAGAGCATGGATCTGCGGCGTCCAGGTTGGTTCTCCGTCCACCATTCTTCTCCGTGCCTTTTGTTTCTATGCTGCGTCTGAACAGTGTCCACGAAAGGCCAAACGGATGTGGGACATCCATTTGCCTTCGACGGATGTGGGACATCCTTTTGCCTTCGACGAATGTCCGACTTCCGTCGACGGATGTGGGATATCCGTTGAAGGCTGATTGGATATCCCAAATCCGTTTTGGCTCTCGGATGCCGCATTTTTTTTCTTTAATATTTTAATTGTTTTTATAATTATTATAACTGCAATATATATTTTATATATTTTTTTTAAATATAGTTATTTGATATATATA